TATATATATATATATATATATATATATATTGTTTTGATTTTATTATTGAATATCCAATATTTTTTTAGTGATATATATAAATAAGTATATGTAATATTATGTATGTGTTTTTTTTTCTTTTCATATTCACTGCTCGTATGTGTGGCTGACTGTTGGCAAAATAATTACATGGATATAATTAAAAGAAAAAGAAAATAACATTATACATTAGCTTTCTAAGTTAGTTATATTCACAACTTATGTAAAAAGCATATCAAGTTTTATCAAAAACAATCACTTCCTATATTAGTTGTGACTATAATTAATCTAAAAAGTAACACTTGCATGATCAATTATGTTAACAGATGTAAAAAGTATTTTTTTACATTGATTCAATGTTCAATATAAAATGTTTTCACATTTTATATACTTTGAATTATAGTATACATACATTACAAGAAATATTTATTAATTTTTTTTACCAATATAAAAAGTGTGATCTATGTATCTATATATATATTGTATTTATTTTTAAAAAATTTATTAAAGTATTAGCTTTCAATTTTAAAAAAATCTCTTACCCGTATTTTGCCCATATCCATGTAACTTAGTCTATCATTTTTCATAATCTATAGAGAAAACGGATGTATATATAAATATACTATGCCCGGTCTTTTTTTAAATAAATAAATAGTAGTGTATTTTAAGCTATCATTTACTTTTTATGAAAAGGCTTGCATTATCATTTTTTTATTTATAAAAAATCTCGAAGAAGTATTAATCAGTTTATTTGACCTTTCCTAGTCTCTTATGTAAACTAATCAACAAACAAAGAATCTTTGTACGTAGAAAACTGGCCAGATAGAGAATGTTGTTATAGGGACAAAGTAAAAGATCAACACCATAGGAACATTGTTTTGAACAAGATAATATTGTCGCTGTTAGTTGCATATATATAATATATGAAGAATTGTAATGTTTTAGAGATCTGTTTTTCAAACACATCATTAACCCCATCCTTAATATATATCACTTAATTATTATATCTATATTTTCTTTATTTTATTTCTTTCTTCTCAAGTGTCAAATAGAATTTTAGGTGTCCAAAAAGGTATGAGCAATATGATGTCATAAAAATAGAAAGAAAAGTGTTAATGAAATATTTGAAAAAATTCAGTATCCAAAAAAATCATTTGTCTAATAACATGTTTAGATACAAGTTAAAAATATTTTTAAGAGTTTATCTATTATAAATAAAAAGTAATTTTTTGGTAGAAAATTTATGAAATGTACTTACTTGTAAACAAATTTTAAGAAAACATTGATACTCACCAGGTTGAGCTTGACCCACCGAAGATCTTGCTAGCAAGAGAATAAAATAAAGTCAGGTATCGAACCTAGGGGCTCTCATATACGTTCTAAGGATCAGAATCATACAGCTGAAATTTACTGTTTAATTAATTGCAAGAGTTTGGACGTGTCCATTTGGTCAACCACGAGATATCTACATATTGATTATAGTTTCAAATATAATTTATATATCAATATGTATTGTTTTCTTAGGCTAGTCTTCTATATACTTGTTCATCAATTTTCTTAATTTTGCAACGTTGGAAGATACTGATTCTCCCATATTGGTGCTCAACTTCTTGGTCCTGCTCTATTATGTGGTTCCTGAGTAGACAAATCATTGAAATTCTGCTTCATATTTGCTTATAAAAGGAACACGCATGTGCTTCCTCTCTGCACATATCAATATTATTCTCAAGTCCTAGAGTCACTTATAATACCCTTTCGTTGTTCTTAAACACTATAGGTGAATATCATAGTGATTAATCAAAATGGCATCAAGCTCAATGTCAGCTACAGGATCATGGAGTGCTAAGGACAACAAGGCCTTCGAAAGGGCACTTGCTGTATACGACAAGGACACCCCTGAGCGATGGAACAACGTTGCCACTGCTGTTGGCGGGAAAACCCCTGAGGAAGTGAAGAGCCACTATGAGCTTCTCCTCAGAGACATTGGCCACATTGAATCAGGCCAAGTTCCATTCCCCAATTACAACAAGAGTAGCGCAGAGACTGATCAAGAGAAGAAAAGGTAGAGCATATGTTTCAACACTAAAGATTAAATATGTTTTTACTTTTTAGGTTTTTAAATTTTTTCTTCCGGTTTCTATTATCATATTTTTTTGGTTCTTAGAGAAAAGTTTAATTAAAGACTATTAAACCCTAAATAAGATTTATTTAGAGACTAAAAATAATAAATGACAAAAGTTTTTAGACTAAAAATATATTCAATCTTACCTATAAATAATTAGTCTCTACATAATGCTACCAACACTTATAATATTTTCTTGTTAATATTCTTTATTATTGATTAAAAATCATAAATTTTAATTAATTGTCTTGCTATTAAATCAGAGGAAAACTTATTTAAATAAAATTTGAGATATACAAAATTTGTAATTTGTTACTAATAAAGAGAGTGCTGGTTAATAGTATGGGCCGGGGATGACAAATATACCCGTATCCGCAGGTAATACCCGAACCCGTTTCGACTTTAAAAAGAAATATTCGGTTTGACCGGGTACGGGTATGTACTTACCCGTACCCGTACCCGTCCCCGTTCTTATTTTTAATTTAATATCCACTTTCAATTTAATTATATTAAAAAAATTTAATATTTTTTATGTGTGATTATTTATTATAATATGAGATAGAGAAATAACCTAATTATAATTATAATATAATAAAAAAAATAATTTAAAAATATTATATTTTTTTTATAAAAAATAAAAATAAAAAAATTGACAGGTATGGGTATGGGTACGGGTATATCCGATACCCGATAGGGGGG